TTTATCTCCTTTATAATAAATGAATTTATTTATTTCTAAATAAAAATTGAAAGTGTCTGTAGAAGTAATTTTTTAAAATATCCTTATTCATAATAAAGTTTTAATGTTATTACTATAATTTAGATATGTTAGTTCTTAAATATACTTGTATATTTAAGGATTGGGCCAACATATACTTCGGCCACAAGTATAATATATATACTTGTGGCCCAAAACTCCATGACTTCTTCCAATGTGGCCCAAAGAAACAAAAAGGTTGGACATCCCTAAAGGTTCCGATTTAATTGTTTTATAACACTTCACATCCGTGTTAAATTCTTTCTTGAAATTCTTTAAATCAACTTCAAAATTTTCTTCGTTTCGTTCAATTGTAAAGTCCGAATATTTCGTTTCTAACTCTTCTTTTATCTTCATTTTCTCCATTTACGATATTCTCGTATGTCAACAATCTGTATTCAATCAAATATTTAATTAATTAATTAATTAATGTTTATTCGACATTTCGGGCAAGCAAAAAAGAAAGACGAGCAAACTCATTACTATTGTTCCCGTTGTAGCAATAAATTAGGGATGCACTTTCAGGGTTGACGGATGAAACTGGAGTTGTGACACGTGTCAAGAACACGTGTCACTTTTCCGCTACAATATCACTTGTTATATGACTAATAGTGTTGTTCTTAAAACGCACCTATAAATGATTATAGTAAGAAACTAAAAATGAAATATTTAATTATGTCATTAAATCCTAAAAACTTTCCGGTTTACATTATACTAGATACAGGGGATTTATCGAGGTTTTTCGGGGCCTAGGGCTTATTGAATTACAACAGGGTCCCGTTTTTGTTACAATTAAAATGTTTAAATTGAAGTTTATAATTCATTTTCACTAACATAAACATCAGAGTTGAAATATATTTATGAAATATTAATAAATACGTATTAAAATTTATTATAATAATTCAATTTTTGTGCGCCCTTGACACTTTAGGGCCCAGGGCTTTAGTCTTATTAGTCCCTGTGTAGATTTGCTCCTGATTAGGTAGCCTGATAGTTCAATGTTAACTCTCTTATAATTAAAAAATAAAAATTGAAAATAAATAAATAAATAAAATTTCTAAAAAATAAAAATGCATATAAATTTGATTATCTTTGGAGCGAAACAGCACTAAAATCATTTTTAATAGTTATGTGGAAAGAAACGACAGTTGCAATTAATTAAAAATAGTATAATTAATTCAGAAAATTCGATGCAAAATTAATATTACGTGAGGACTCGGGGCTTATAATTTAACTTTAAAGAAAAGTTTGTTATATTTGTTCGATATTTTCCCCTATTTTTGTAAAACGAAATTAAAGGCAAAAAACTTCCTCTTCTGTTAATATACTGTACACCGTAATCCATTTTTCCTTGTGTGAGAAAGACTTGGAAATATTTTTAGGAAAAACTTTTCTATGAAATTCACACTTTGTGTCCTTACCGTACATTGTTCTTTAAATCTTCAAATCATTAATCATATTGTTTTTTCACACCCGTTTTAAAAAAATTAAGAAAAAGATTGTTAGTGACCCCAACCTTCGCCTACGGTCACCGTCCAATACTTTTTCTCCAGCGGCCCCTGTTACCCACTTGTTTCTTTTTACCCTCTTAGATTTACTAGCCACCCACAGGGGGCGTTGCGCCCACTTTAGGAACTGCTGCGCTAAACAGTCCAACTTCCGATACGTGTCGGAAGTTGGACTGTTTTGCGCAGAGGTTGGAGGAGTTCTGCGCTTAAAAATGAGGTCACCCTCACACAGGACAGTTCCCAGTTGTTTGCCGCGTAGAACTTGTTGTCTGTGAAAGACAGAGTAGCTGCTAAAATTTCTAAACCTCCGTCACACAGGAAAAAAAGAAAAAGAAAAGATTCGAAGACGAAGAGAAATTATTTTTTAAATCTCCGATTTAAAAAATAATTGTTAAACGTTAAAGGTATATTACATTTAAGTTATTCTGTAAACTCTCTCTCTCTCTCTCTNGTAATTTTTTAAAATATCCTTATTCATAATAAAGTTTTAATGTTATTACTATAATTTAGATATGTTAGTTCTTAAATATACTTGTATATTTAAGGATTGGGCCAACATATACTTCGGCCACAAGTATAATATATATACTTGTGGCCCAAAACTCCATGACTTCTTCCAATGTGGCCCAAAGAAACAAAAAGGTTGGACATCCCTAAAGGTTCCGATTTAATTGTTTTATAACACTTCACATCCGTGTTAAATTCTTTCTTGAAATTCTTTAAATCAACTTCAAAATTTTCTTCGTTTCGTTCAATTGTAAAGTCCGAATATTTCGTTTCTAACTCTTCTTTTATCTTCATTTTCTCCATTTACGATATTCTCGTATGTCAACAATCTGTATTCAATCAAATATTTAATTAATTAATTAATTAATGTTTATTCGACATTTC